CACCACACACACGCCTTATCTTACGTGGCACAGAAAATCAGCCAAATTATGTTAAGATTCATGTATATAATACTGGACGATGATGGATGCGTGTGGTCGAGATGGTCAACGCCCACACATGTAGGCGTTAATATTTCCCTTTTTTTTAACTTATGGTCCTGGTGCTTGTAACACGAAAGACATTATATATGGTTGCAGTAAATGAAATCAAAGAGGAAGCTCTCTAAAATTCCTTTTTTTCTCTCTTCATTATGTGGTTAGTTTAGTTTGCGTGCCTGCCCCCCTATATATACATTGAGAGAGGAGCTGGTCCGGGAAATACACTTTGGTTCCTGGTTGCATATACACTTTATATGAGTATTTTTAATAATTAAACAAACAGTCAAAAAAGTTCAAAAGTATTTTAAGATTAAACTTGATTTTGTTTTGTTTTGCACTAGTATATAATTTTTTATGGAAAAAAACCGACATTGACTTCAGGGCAAAAAACACAAAATTTATTTGCTATTATAAGTCACTATTCGCACTATTTTGACCGAAAGTTTGTCTTTTTTAGGAAGAAGTCAAAGGGTGATTTTATTTTTATGAAATTTTGCTCACAAGTAAAAATGAAATCAAAGAGAAAGCTCTCTAGAATTCCTTTTGTCCGTTATGTGGTTAGTTTAGTTTGCGTGCATGCCTTCGCATATATAGCGAGAGAGGGGCTGGCCGATGGTTCCGTGCTCGCGAGGACAGGGATGGCATGGTGGTAGGTGGAGTTGCTGTGTCCGTGTGATGCCCGGATAATTAAACTACAACAACCTCTGCTAATGATGCCATGGCACAATGATTACTGTTGTTAATCTCGCGTTAGATCAAAATCAATTCAAATTCAAATTTTAAAAATAAAGACAAATATTAAAAGTTTTCAAACATTAAAACTAAAATGTTTCAAACTGGGACAAATAAATCCTAAGTAATAATGGTGAAGAAACCACACTTGTATAAAATGTGTAAATACTCAAACATGAATAAAGTAGTAGCAAGAACAATTAGTTGCCATGTATGGTCTGATCTAATATAGTTGCCATGTATGGTCTGATCTAATGCAGTTGCCATGATTTCATAACTTTAGGAATTGCCATATACTAACACTAAGCAGTTGAGAGAGTTGCCATGTGCTCACAAGTATGCTAGGGCAGTTGCCATGTAAAAAGGAAGAGTTGCCATCTACTTACGTGCACGTTGGGGCAGTTGCCATGTACGTGCACGTTGGGGCAGTTGCCATGTACCATGCAAAAAACACATGGCAACTCGGTAAAAGACAGTTGTCATCTGCTTACGTGCACACTAGGCAGTTGCCGTGTACCCTGCAAAAACACATGGCAACTCGGGTAAAAAAAAAGAGTTGTCACCTGCTTATAAAGCACACTAGAGGCAGTTGCCATGTGCGCTGCAAAAACACATGGCAACTAGCAGCTTACGTGTGGGAGAGAAGACGGGCGTGTGGGCGAGATGGCAAATGCCCATACACCAGCCCTTGTGCGTGACTGAAAACTAGTGTGTGGGTGAACTGCTAAACGCCCACACACCGGCCCCTCCGTGTGGTAAAACGGATGTGTGGGCGAACTATGTCACACACCACACACACGCCTTGTCCTACGTGGCACAGAAAATCAGCCAGATTGTGTCAAAATTCGTGCATATAGTACTGAACGGTGATGGATGCGTGTGGTCGAGATGGTCAATGCCCACACGTGTGGGCGTTAACATTTCCGTTTGTTTTAACACGTCAACTGAGCCGCTCCATACTCGCTGCTTTCCTGCTTCCCCTTTTCCATTCCATCCAGTTCTTCCTATGTGTTCATGTAAATTCCGTGTGAAATTTTCAGATAGAATCAATTTCCGAATTATTGGCTAAAGCCACCACGACAATAATTATGAAACAGAGGGAGTATATATTTACCACATAGTGAGAGACATTCAGCACCGGGCTGGTTGTTCTGCTCTGCTCCATGGACCATGGGCCTCCTCTGTCTTTTGTTCTGCTCTGCGGACTGGAAGCAAAGAAAGCGCTATGCTGCGGTTGCTTGGATGGAAGCAGACAAGGTTGATGTTGCAGCAGCTTGTGTCCATCATCGTCATCGCTGTTGTTTGGCTTCTCCAGTTGAGTGGCTCGTCCTATCTCTTGTGTGAGACTGCATCAAGAGTTCCCAATCAAATTTCCCTGGAGAAATCAAATTACCTCAGATGATTTCGAAAGATAGCATCCTCACAGCGAATAATTCTTTCTTTGAGAGACTGCGATGGAGATGCGCAACTGTCCTTGAGCTTCCGACTCGACGATGCCAAAATCTTATTATCACCACATGTATCGACATCACTACCAAACCAGTACTTGAGAGTTCAGAGTACAACAAGCAGCAGCAGCAACTAATAATAATTAGAGAAAAATTTGTGCAGGCATGACACCTGCCAAACACCATACTACAGGTAATAAAAGAGCTCTATATAACGGAGTCCTCTCCCTCCTAATTTACCAGCTCGGATCGGATCTATGCAACAAACTGCAATACTGACGGTACGGCGATTAATCAGTTCGTCTCCAGGAGAAAGACCAGAGAGGAACAATGGAGACCCGGGTCTCGCCACGGCAGCAAGGACCGGGGCGGCGCTCGGGTCACCATGCCCGGCAATGGCGATCACTTGACGGTGCAGATCTTGATGACGGAGGCCATGCCAATACGGTGCAGGACGACGACGGCGTCGCCGGCCTTGCAGAGCTGCTTCTTCACGGCCGACTTGAGCGCGGCCTGGAGGATCTCCTCCGTCGACTCCGAGTCGGTGGCCTTGGCGGAGCCCTCGGCGAGGAGCGGGATCAGGCCCCTGTAGATCAGGCTGTGCCTGGCAGGGCCCTCGGAGCTGACGGTCCAGTCAAACGAGTCGGTTGTCAGCACTGGGACGACCACCGAGAGGATCGGGACCCTGGGCCGGTACTTGGCAACCAGCTTAGCTGTGGTGCCGCCACGGGTCAGGACGACGATCAGAGTGGCCCTGGCCTTGTTGGCGGTCCGCACGGCGGAAGACGCAAGGGACTCCAGCGGGCTCATCGGGAGGGGCGCGGCCTTGATCATCTCCTTGAAGACGGCGTCGTTGTCCAGGGAAGACTCTGCCTCCACGCAGATGCGAGCCATGATCTTCACAGCCACCTCAGGGTATGCTCCAGCAGCGCTTTCACCACTGAGCATGACACAGTCGGTTCCATCAAGCACCGCATTTGCGACGTCAGTAGCCTCGGCACGGGTTGGCCTCGGGGACTTGATCATTGACTCAAGCATCTGGGTCGCTGTGACAACAGGCTTGCCAGCAAGGTTGCACTTGTAAATCATCATTTTTTGGGCAAGGAATATCTTCTCAACTGGAATCTCCATTCCAAGATCACCTCTGGCAACCATAAAGGCATCGGTTTCCCTCAGAATGTCATCAAAGTTCACAATGCCCTCCTGGTTTTCAACCTACAGATTCAAGAAAGAAGTCAGATACATAAGAACATAACTAACATGGTCAGAAGCAAGCATGCATGTATATATACAGTAGATAATTTTCTAAACATAGTTGTTAAACAACAAAGCCAAGTAATCTGAACAATTTCACAATTACAGGGAAAAAACCTTGTCAGGGGAGATGCAGGAAAGAAGAGGCAAAACTTGCTCATCTAACTGACCCAAGGTTTAACAAAATGTGCTTAGTAAGGATAGCACGAAGAGAACAAACTGTGTATTTTTGCCTAATGTCTTTACAAACAGGAGCAGGTGTGAAACAGGCCACAGGGAAGAGCCAAAGAATTCATGGGTTCCAGGATTGAGAATTCCAGTATGTATTAACAAAAAGCTCGACTACAAAACAGTTTGGCAGCTTAATATGCAAACTAAACAGTTTGGCAGCTTAATATGGTTGCCCTGGTACTTAACTAAAAAAGAGGCAAAACTTGGTCAGCTAATTGTCCCATATTTAAGCAAGAGTATCGTTAAGGAAAGCACAAATAAGAGAATTAATTGTGTATTTTTGCCTAATACAGCATAGAATAGACTACAGTGTTTTTTACAAACAGGAGCACATGTGGAACAGGTCACAGGGAAGAACTAAGGAGTTCATCCAGTGTGTATTAAGTATTAACAAAAAGCTTGACTGCAAAACAGTTAGGCAGCTCAACCTCAATGTATAAGAAATAAACATCATCTGTGGGTGCCCTGGTACTTAACTAACATGCAGATACATTTCATCATTGCAGAGAATATCAAAGAGTTTAGCAAGCACAGGGAAATGCACACTAAGAAAACACATAAAATAGCTGAGAGTAACAACATACAAACCTTTGACATTAACTTGATGCGCTTTGCATGCTGTCCAAGAAGCTGCCTGACGGTCACCAAATCTGATCCTTTGCGGACAAACGACAAAGCAATCATGTCAATGTCATTAGGCACACCCCATTCCAAAATGTCCTCCTTATCCTTCTCCGTTAGTGTAGGAAGGTCCACAACAATTCCTGGCAGATTACAATTCTTCCTCTCTCCAAGCATTGCAGTGTTCTCACACCTACATCTGACAGTTCCAGCTGCTGGGTCACAAGAGAGAACAGCCAAGGAGATGGTACCATCAGCACATAGTATGACATGCCCAGGCTTCACATCCTGAGGAAGTTTCTTGTAACTCATGGAGATCGTGTTCGTGTCGCCCTTGATATCATAGTCGGTGGAAACAGTGATTTCTTGACCCTTTGTCAGTTTGATTGGTTTACCATCCTTCAAAAATCCAGTACGAATCTCAGGTCCCTGCAGTAATGAAGAAAATACTCAGTACAGATCATCATATAATGCCCTCAAATACCTACTAACGAGACCCAATCAGAATGTAGGCTACAGATTACACATCATATGAAACGGTCTTCCCTTTTTGCAAAAAAAACAGTATATAAAATGGTCACCAAAAGAAAACACTGCAATAAAAGCAAAGGATCGGTCTCATTGAGCTTACTGAAGTACTCCTCCCGTTCACTATTAGAAGATGTTCTACTAACTTTTACCTAGAATAAATCGGATGTATGTGGAAACGTTTTAGTGTATTTGTTCACTCATTTCAGTCTGTGTGTAGTCCATATTGAAATATCCAAAAAAAACATCTTATAATAGTGATCGGAGGGAGTATAAGAAATAAAACCATTAAATTTAAACATGTGATCCGTGAAGATAAGCACCACAAGATGAAGAACTAGTTATATAAAAGAGATGAAGCATTAAGCCATTATTGTGTAATAAACAACTACTGGAGCAAGTTTTGTTACTACCAAATAAAACCTCTCTGTAAGTGTATCAATTGCTTCCTTCTATTTGTGCGCGTGAACAAAAGTTCCTATGAGAACCAGCAATATCGTAACACCAAGATCTGGAATAAGCAGCCACCAAACCGTCCTTAAAATATATTTACAAGTAATGTCTGGTCAGTAAAACCAGTAGTGGACAAAGTAACTGAACAACATGCCGACAATATGCAAAACTTGTGTTAACTACCATGATGTATTATAAATACAGCAGGTCGTTCGGAGCCGGGTCTTACGGCGCAACCGTCTCCAGCACTGAGCAATCAGCTGCGCGGCGGCCGCTGATGATGGCGGCGAGATCTGTAGGCCGACGACAAAACGACAACAACACAACACGGATGCCGCTGCGCAGGCCACGCTACATGCCATCCCATGATATATCGATTCCATTTCACCAGCATCGCAAATGTCCACCAGCCCAATCAATCCTAGATCCAACCTTTCGACGACAAGGCAGAGCCCTGAGGCCAATCTAACCAACCACACATGTACGTACGTGCCATTAAATGTAGCCCCCCAAAAAGTCAAAACCACCAAAGCTGCAATCCTAATCCGACCACGCTGACATGCGGTTGCCTCCAGATCACCCCAATCCAACTCCCGATCGACAGATCAGTAGATCGGAGGAGCCCACGCCTCCCACCCTCGAACCAAAACCTACAGATGCCACCCCGCAAAACGGCCCGATCCGGTGAACCGAGGCCGCGCCAGCGGCGGGGCAGGGCGGCGGGGCGGGGGAGGGGAGATCGAGACGGGGGACGGGGGAGGGATGCTAGTACCTTGGTGTCGAGCATGACGGCGCAGAGGATGCCGGTGTTGTGCATGGCCTGGCGGAGGGCGTCGAGGGTCTCCTTGTGGTACTCGTGGGTGCCGTGGGAGAAGTTGAAGCGCGCGACGTTCATGCCGGCGCGGAGCAGCTTCTCGAGCATGGGCACGGAGCGGGAGGCCGGGCCGAGCGTGCACACCAGCTTGGTCCGCGGCGTCCGCGCGTCCGCCGCCGCGTCCCGCTCCAGGTCCGCCAGCACCGCCGCCATGTCGATGTTCGCCATCGCGCTCGCGCGCCTCCGATCCGGTCGCCGGAGGTGAGGTGGGAGGGGTTGGGTTGGGGGTGCGGGGGGATGACGATGAGATTTGGATTTGGTCGCGGATGGATGGATGTTTTATAGGAATGGAAGGGGGGATTTGGATTTGGGCGATTCGGTGGGCGAAGAGGCGGAGGGAGGAGGAAGACGGGATTGTGGACACGTGGTTTGGCCGCCGAGTGGAGAGGTGGACGCGGCCGCTCTCCGCCACCAGTGCGTCGCCCCGTTACCGTCAGCCGTTTTCCACGTCTTCTTCTTGGGGAAGAAGTTGTAGATGAAAATTCTCTAGTCTAGCATTTAAAATCGTATATGTTGGAAATAAAAGAAATAAATAGATTTTTGACAGGGGACAAATAAATAGATTCTTTTTTTAAAATAATAGATTTCTAGTGGGTGGTAAACAGAAATAATTTTGAGTACTTGTATCTTAGTCAACCGACTCTCGTGTCGTCTGCCCTAGGCGACCCAAGGGACCTAGTCGCCGCCCTTGGATCTCTCCCTCGCCGCCGGCCTTTGTCACGGCGGAGGCGGGCACGCACCAAAGGCCCGGGACCCTATAGATGCTCGTTGTGCGTTCTTTGTTGTCGGTTGATGGACAGCTCGGTCTCTAGCCCCGTCAAATGTGGGTCGGGCTACGATCCGCCTTCCTAACGCTGAGACATGTGTTCATGGCACGCTGTAGTTTTGATGGGACTGGCATGTTGTGTGTCGCTCAGATCCGACGCAAACATGGCTTCGACGGCTTGCGTTGGACCTGGCTTGTGATGCCCGGTATGATCTCTGTGGTTGCAGGTGATGGTGGCAGGATGATGATGAGTGGTCCTAGTTTTTCCTACCTTTGGTGCAGGTTCATGAGGTGTGCTCGTTGCTCTCGTTATTCGACCTGTTTCACATAAGAGCCTGATGCTCTCATCTAAAGTCGGTTTAGCGAGTCTGCGATCCTCTTTGGATCGCCTTGTTCCCTTTCGACACCCCTCCCCCTCCTTGAGAGGTGTTGTCGGGTGGCAATCAGATGGCCAAGTCTTAGCGCTCGCTTACCTTGCTTGCTCAGATGAAGATGGAAGTTGAGGTCCTCCTCCGTGTCAGTTGCAATCAAGGGCGGCGGGACCTTGCTTGCATAGCGTTATGTAGAAGATATTGGCACTTGCAAAGATTTAAACACAATTTTCAATTTCTAAAAATTGCAGTAGTACCGTGTTTAGTAAAAAAGTTCAATTTTTGTAAAGATGCAAAGCATTTGTGCTATTTACTACACGGCCATTGGTCTTTAAAAAACAGTATTCCCTTCATTCTAATGAATAAGGTACGCACGCATTTTAAAAATTAACTTTGACCATAAATTAGTCCAACCAAATGTGGGTCGTATGGCATAACACATATACCTTTGAATTCATATTGAAAAGAAGTTTTTGGTGGTACTATAATTTTACGAAAACACTAAAAGTCTGATATCAGATTTTTTTTAGGGATGGCAAAAATCTGGAATTTTTTAGGCAATCTATATTGACACGATGATAGCAAATTTAGTTTACAAGCACAATAATTTCTTACAAAAAAAAATAAAGTGGGACGGATTTGTCGTCCTCGACTCGAAGAACATAATTTTCCATGAAAAACTTTCGATTTGCCGTGGTCAAAAATCCGGCATCAGGTTTTATAGTTGAGTCCTAATTTTCTAAGTCACAAAAATTCACATTATTGATGTAATGTACGGTCAAAGTTGAACGAAGGGAGTGGGAAATAGAGAGAGAAAACAGAAGGCCTTGTTTGAACGAAGTCGGTTTAAAAAGACTTAATAACGACAGCCGAATTAACCAGCGCCGTTGGGGGGAACGGTGATGATACCACTCGGACTGGGAGCACTCTCAGGTTTCAGCGGTCGTTGCGCGGTGGGGGCCATTCGAGATCTCGAGGGCGGATCATTCGTCCCCACGCGATGGCATATGCCGCCCGACGCCCGTGCCGGTGGGCGCAGGGGCGCAGGCAGGGCGGCAAGGCAAAACCAGCGAGCGGCGCGACGCCCGTCAAAAACCGGGGACCCGCCCGAGCGAATGGCCGAGCCTCGGTACCACTTTCGCTTTCACTTTCCGCCGGTCGAGTCCGGTCCGGTCCATCCATGCGCCCTGCACCGGCCGCTCTGGCGTCCGACGGACAGTGTGTCGGGTCGACCCATGCGCATGTCACCGCGGAAAGCGCATGGAATTTGTTTCATTTAATTAATCGGGCGGAAGGAACTTTGCGACTCAATTTTGACTTGCAATTTTCTTTCTTTCTTTTCTACAAAGAAGAAGAGAAGAGGGTTCTTTCTTTGACCATCTCCATCTCCATCCGTGTCACGGGCAGTAGTAGAGTTTTACAAGCGAATCAACCTGTGGTTGAGTTGGTTAGGTGGACAGTGGTATCCCCAACCCACCAGGGTTCAAATCCCGGTGCTCGCATTATTTCTAAATTTATTTCAGGATTTCCGGCGATACACTTTCAGTGGGAGAAGACGTTCCCGTCGACGACGAGGTGCCTATGGTAACTTCGTAAATCTCAAGATGATATGCCGGCTCAGTCTCTCGGATGTGCTCATAGGGGTAGGGTGTGCGTGTATGCGTTCATAGGGGTAAGTGTATGCGCGTGTATATGAGTGCTTGTGTCTGTACTGATGCTCAAAAAAAATAGAGTTTTACAAGGGTCCTTATTCTTCAGAAAACCATGGAACAATATACCAGTGTGGGAGCGCCATACCCCATAGGAGAGATCGAACACTTTTTTAAAGGGAAATCGATGTGAGAGATAGAACACTGTTGTGTTTTAGAGCGTACAATAGTTGTCTTTTTTTTAGAGTTTTCAACAAGTTCGACCGGGTTCCTACGCATGTGGAACGGGTGAGATGATCGGCTGAACACGATTAGGCTTGGATTGTTCCGGTGATGCTCAAGGCGCATTACACGGGCGTAAACAGCCGTGACATCATTCATGAGTCAACGATCGATGGAGCTGAGAGTCTGATCTACCCACACAGATTCTTCAAACAGGTCCGCGAGTACGCTTCATAGCGGAGCAAGATTGCAAGTATCAGGAGATGATTGAGTAAACCAGACTAATTATGTAATGTTGTCTTGGTGGCAGGCAAGGAAAACCGGTGGCTTTTGAGCAACACGTGCTAATGTTTTAACTATATGCTTATTAGGTGTGATTATGTGTATGTGTATGACGCTTATGCAAGTGTTTGAAGATGTCCTTTGAGTGTGAATGGACCCTGTCTCAATGCATTCCTCAATAGTTTCTCATATAGCTTGCCTGCCTTCTTTTTTTGTCGTTGGTTTTTGTGTCACGGGCGCAATGGGTCAACGATAAGTATGAGTAAAAGTATCCTTTATATAGCCACTGATACAAACACAATTCGATTGGTCTTCCTTTTGCTTCTGTTATGCTAAATGGGGTGTCCTGTCGTTCCACGACCTCTTACCATCGTGTCCTCTTGGATGGAGGGCGTCTTTTGGGATGTGAGCCCAGTCTTTGAATGATGTGGTCTGGCCAGACGACGCGCTCTGTCGTGACCGTTCGTACTCATTGTTAGGAAATCGTTAACTGGCAACTGCTCGGTTGGCTGGCAAGTAAAGAATTAATAGGCTAATCAAAAAGTTAATCATCCATTTGATCAATTAGTCGGCTAATTTATCAGTTTATCGGCTATTCGGTGTCCCTATGAATAGGGATTAATCGACAAGTTAAATGATTAATAGAACGAATTCTTGAACATGCTCGTACTTTGAGGGCGTGTTTTCGGATGTGAGCCCGGTCTTTGAACGATGTGGTATCACCGGATGGTGTGTTCTACCATGTCTACCGTACTTCGAGCATTGTTGTCTGGCTGGACTGCATGTTTTGCCATGTTTGCCGGGACTTTGACTCTAACGGCTACTCGGATGACGTCTTTTCCCATGTCTGCCCCACCTTTGACCCCTGCAGCCTGGGCGGATGGTGTGTATGTTGCATGTGCTCAATGATCACACTCTTCCCTGGCCCATCAATCGTCTGGTTTCTTTCTGCTCGTGTGGTTCCGAGAGGGGACGCCCGTGGTTCTAATGGTTCAGGTCATTTGTCATAGGGGGCCAGGTTTCATGTGAACATGACTCATATATCGTTGAGAGAAAGACATGGGCAACGATCGCCATTTTTCTTTCATTGATACAAACGCGATACGAACATAATCACTTGCAGGAAAATTCCGACAAGCATCATTAAATAGTTCGCCCGAGTTCTCGGCTGCAGCCGGTATGACCGCAGGAGCATGATGGGCTCGTCCCGGAGCGGACGACACCTGAGGCTCAACCAAGGTTGTGCTCGCTGCTTGCACGCAGGACGGTGGAGGCCAGAAGCTCGGCGGACAACGACGGACTGGAAGTAGCACGAGAGAGTAGTGGAGCGGGACTACAGTGCGAGGTGGGGGATGAGGGAGGCTAGAAGCATGGCTAGGACTGAGCACGACAAACGGCGGAGGACATTTGTGCTCTAAGGCAACTCGACTGTTGTGTCCGCTCATCTGGGTGCGTCCATGTTAGATCAGTGCATCGTGCGTGCGTGCAAGACGACGTTCTCCTGTTCGAAGATTGAAAGGGCATTGTGAGTGTGAGATGGGCTAAACCTTGGCCCAAACTGAAATCTGTATAGGTAATACGCCTTGTAAAAACACCACGTGCCGAGCCTGGCCCTGGGTGTCCGAGGCCAGCTCCGCCCCAGCTCAAATGTCTGTGGATATGCTCAGAGGTGTCCACGGACAGCCAGCCACACAGAGGCCCCTGATTTTTGAACTGTGGGGTTGTGGGCTGGTCTGAGTGACAATGGGTCAGTCGGATCAAGAGGAGAAAGATATAAGGCCTCCTTTGGTTTATAGGATAGGAAAATTATAAGAATAGAAAAGTTATAGGAATGAAATGACATGCATCTCAAATCTTATGAATAGAAATAAGAAAGAT